TGCGTACTTAATCTTTCAGCTCTTGAAAGCCTAATAGTTTTCCTTAATAAACTTTCCTTAACTTTCCTTAATTAACATTTGCCATGATATGCAAGATTCGAACATCTTAGTATGCGCCAGATCAATCGTTTTAGGTTTTAAAGGTTGGACTTGCCAATAACTACAGTTGCTCGCATACTTCTCACAAGAGACGAGACTTAACGTAGCAAATTGAGCAGCTTGCGGCGGAAGAAAAAGAATTTGTACGTTAAAGTCCTGAACCTAAAAGCAGATTGTACCAGTGCCACATTGCTTTAATGAGCTATAAATATGATGTCATTGCACTTGATTGTTAATAGATTCCCAGTGACGAAATACCTTGCAACAATAAAAAGTACTTTAAAGCAGATGCAAGAATTATACAACGATCATCATACTCGCTGTCCCTTTTTTATAATAAACAAAGTGCATACGATTTAAATAATACTACGACGTCTTGTTTGTCACCCCTTCAAAGCAGATCCTTTCATCAACATTTACATTACGCTATATTTTTCGCACTTTTACTGAAAAGTGCTATTACCATCTCATTAGCCATCCCTAAGATGATAATCTAAGGTAACCAAACTGCAAACACAGTTTTAAGAATTATGTAATTATAAGCTACAAATTTATTCGCCTTGCCTGCAAGGATTATAAACCATACACGTCTTATGTGGAGAATGGAGAGAGCACAGACTTGCTCTCAATAAATTGCGACGCTTCGATTTTGCGGCAATTTTTTTGCCGCTGTCATCCTATTTAATTTGCACGAAATTAATAAAAAGCAAAAGAACTTGGATCATTTGAGAGCATGGTGTAGTGAATTCTTATACTAAATGAATGCCGGGAATATATAGTGCACGACCGACATCCGCCCAGTCTTATTCGCATCTCTGTTTTATGATAGCCAAAATTGCAACAACAAGAATGTATTACAAGAAAAAATAATAAATTTTTTATTGCCAATATTTGTTTTTAGATATACAAATTAAAAATTTATCATTAAATTTTGTTTTTTTTAACTAAACATTTATAAAATTAATTCTTCAGATTTAGGGTTTGGGTTTTTAAATTAAATACTAAAATTAATATGCCAAACGAATCGAAATGATCAAAATTACAAGTTCAAGAGAGGGAGAGACGTAAAATATGGTTAAAAATTTTACTGAAGAATATATAAAAATACGATCGAATCGAATATAATTTCAACAAACAAGAAATTGCCAATAACTGCTCACAATGCATTATTCGTTTACATTTTAGAAAAAAAAAAAAAAATTCGATCAAAATGGTTTTTGCTAATGTTAATCTAATACTACATCCACCGATTGGGATATGGGGATGCGAAGCTTAAATCATTTTATATAGTTTTTTAAAACACATGAACAACGTATTTAAACAGGAATTGTTTTTTTGAAATTGTAGATGAGTATAGTAGAGCTTTGCAATTGTTATTGATTGATGTGTAATGATGGCAGTGGCGGTGTAGCTACATATTTTTTTTTTAAGGAGAGTAATATAATTGCAAATGTCGACAAGAGCGAGGAGCTTGTTTATAGAGAAGTGATGAGCAAAAAAAAGTGAAAGTTTTAAAACGATTTTTTTTGTTTTTGTAATTTTTTTTGCTAAAAATCAGTGAAAATCTTGGGATAAAGTAGCAAAAAAAACGTTGCTTCTTGTAATCGAATATTAACATTTTCCAAGTAGATTTTTCACTGTTTTTGCGTTATGAAGTAGTTTTGTTTTTTTGTTTTTCGTTTCTAAAGCTAATTTATTTTAATATTAAAGTAATTGAGGATTTTTCAAGTTGATCAACCAAAAAAACTTCTTCTCTTGCTATAGAAAGCAGAAGAATTTCTTCTGTTTGATTTTCTTTTTCCTTTAAATATTCACTCGTTTTCTTCGGGGTTTTTTAATCTAAAAGTGTTGTTGTTTCTGCTATTTTCATTTTCATTTTTTTTTTTTTTTTTAGCAAAAATCCATTTCCTTTTTTTTCTTTAAAGTTTGTTTGTTTTACTTGATCATTATTCGAGGTTGTTTTCTTCATTTCTTCTTGATTTTGTTTCTAAACAAAAATTTTGTTTGCCTTCTGTGGTTAAGTAGCATGCGCACGAAAATTTCTTGAATTTCTTCACGGTAGTTAAGTAGAGGAATAAGGGGTTATGATGGTATTATCATTTGTTTCTATTTGATGTTTTAGGGCTTTGCCTTGCACACGTATTTCATTGATTTGAATTTGCTGGTTTGATTGGTTTTTTTTTTCATTCATTCTGTTATCATACCATATATAGTTCATATCTCATAGCTCGGATTTGAATTTAAATAAAATTTTCGATTTTAAACGTAAGTTTTGATATAGTTTTTTGCATACCAATCTTCAAAAATTAAAGAACTCAAATTCTGAACTCCGATTAATCGATTGTTGAAAATAATTTTTTTACACATTTTCGAGGCTCAGAATTTCTCCCTCCCGAAGGTTTTTGAAGCTGAAAAAATCCAAAAAATGTAGAGTAATGGGATTAGGGATATGTATATATGGTAGGAATTTCGATATGAAAAAATTTTAGAAAACAAAAATTAATTTTATTCGCCTTGATTTTACGAACAAGTGCCAATCCAACAATAGAAAAGCTGTAAAAGCCTTAAAATTAATCTAGGATTATTATTCCACTCATCATCTTATCGTGAATTATCCGCAAATTCAAGGTCTATATATGGAATCTATACGTTAAAGTTCCGAGTGGGGAGGGGCGGGTGGGGGGTATTCAGGAAGTAATAGGTACAATATTTTACAAAATACTTTTGGGGAATATATTTTCATTGTCGAAAACGATCTCAGTGTTCACCTATTACTGAGTGATGCTTAACGGTGAATATAATTCCTTTTATACTAAGCTTTTCCAGATGAGATGGTCTCTCGCCCCTTTTAAATACCGTTTTTATGGAAAGTCTTACTTTCTTATTTTATTCATCGGGAGACACTTCCCATAAAAGCTTGTTGTTACATGTTTCAGGATAAATTGGAGCGCTGTATTTTTTCGAAAGCGTCGAAGTACTATCGAAATACTTTCGTAAGATCTTTTTCCTTAAGTTCAAGGAACCAGATGGGAAGGAGTAATAATAATAAAATATGCAACAATTCCAATAATAGAATTAAGACAAACAAAAGAAAGTTGATTGCTTTGTAACGGTAGTTGGCCTTCTTTAGAAGTTCGGTCTACAATGTGCTATAGATGAACAAAAACTTCCGGTGTACAATATTGAAGATGGCTCACCTTCTTGTACCAAATTTTGATATGGGTCGGATTACGCTGATTTCCAGTGGAACGTGATTTCTCGTATCCCGATTGATTACGTGAGACGAACGTAGGGTCTTACATTAACGAAAATACGATTAAACATGTCAAACTTCTGGGTATTTCATATTCGCAGCTGGTCCTTTAGGCGAATATAGGAATTTTGTACGTATCAGGAAGGTGATCAACAATATTCCCTCATATTTTTGAAGTATTCCTATACCCCGAACTATGTGGTGAAAGTTTGCGCGGATGATACACGAAAGACTTATAAGGGCCGACTGTCTGAAAGTGCGTTTGTCCGTCTGCCGTCTTCTTGTGTTCGACCAGCAGTTTATAACTTCTGAAATAGTTTGAATGAAATTTGGTGTTCGAAGGACGAACGCTATTAAAAATGGTGCGGATCCCACCCCACCTTATTTTAGAGAACGATTATGCGGGCGGGCCGTGGTACACTACAACATTTGTTTTGGACGATCCATGAAGAATACTTTTATCAGGCGTTATTACTCATTTATATGGTTATTATTATCGTCTTCAACAGAGTTTTCAATAAAAAAAACTGCAGAAAAACTAATGAAAACGGACGGACAGAGTCGAATCAAAAATGTATATTTCTACAAATGTGTGAAACGTGTATGTACACATGTAGCAAGTTCCAAAATGAGAAAGCAAGAAAAAAAATTTGTTTCATGTATTTTCTGTATTTTATGCAAATCCAAAGAGTATATATGAAACTTAGCTAACAGCGAATTAATTTGAAATTGCAATTTTCTTTTGTATGTATAGAAAATCAATTTTACGGTAAATGATGGGAAAACTTTTTTTTACTCTTTCGTTAGAAATTCTTTTTTTCAACAATTTTTGAAAGTTACACAAAATAATTATCCAGTTTTGTTATATTATAAAAAATATTAGCTTTTTTTTACATTTCATTAGTTTTCCTTCCATTTTTCCAGAAAATTCCACTTGAAGCTCTCATTAGAATTAAAACGAAGCCAGCACATAAGTAATAAATTCAAAGCGCGAATAGTAATAAAAAATAAGATAATGTGCAAAAAATTTTTAAAAAGCATGTTGTGAAGATAAGAAACAAGAAAAGAAAAAAAACTACCAAAACTACAACTAACATGATAGAAAAATTTTAAATGAAGAATATATAAAATGAGCGAAAAAATATGAATTACATTTTCTTTGTTTTCATCGTTGTTTCTGTTATTGAATGTTTGTTTGTTTGTTGCAGCAATTAAGGGTTTGTTCAAATAATCCGAATGATATGTTATTATATAATAGGCTAATGGTAGTTCTCGTCTTTCTCTTTTACGTGTTGCTCTAAATTTCGTTGCTCTCTAAATGGAGGCGGATATTGCGACTGGGTTATTGTGAGTAGTCGCTTGATTAGTAATGGGCGCCTCCGAGGCCATTGGTGTCTTCAAGTTGTTGCGCAAACGTGAATTGCGTTTACCGCGATGAGGTTTTGGCGATTTTGTAGTAGAGTCTGGCACATTTGCGGAAGTGTTTGCGGCCGGTTTGTCACCGCCAGCACCTTGCTCGGTGGTCGAACCAAGGGTACCATTACGTGGAGTATTGCCTCCGTTGCGTACGTTATTGCGAACTAAAAATTTCATATCTTTGATCTTACTTTCGTTAACTTTAGCTCCCTTTTTTATAGTTGATATTAAGATTTACTTACCCCCACGTCTATTACGGCGACGATTATTATTTTTAACAATCGGCTTAATGGTAGTTTTATTTGGATCAAAATAACTATCAAATAGATCGGCCAATTCAGTTTTATCATTGACTTTCAATTCATCGATCGCCTGCAAAACTTCGACGAGACCGTCACGCTTTTTATCGGACCATATAGAATTTAAGGTGGTCAAATCGTAACCATGCTCAGCCAAAATGATACGAAATTTAACAGCACGTACACGGTGATATATGGTAGTTTTGAAATAATTCAAAAATACCGGACGGAATGAATTTTGGCGTTCCAGATTTTCGTTTTGCGTTTGCAATTCATTTAAATCACATTCAATTGGCTTAGCATAAGTGTGCAAAGCGTTGAGCATTTTATCGACAGCAATTGAAGAATCTAGTGATTCTTTGCCATCCTGATTGCTCAAATGTAAAGCGACCTCATAGGCCAGCTTGGCGCGTACACTGGCATTACCTTCAAATAATTCTCGATCATTGTTATTATTGTTGTTGTTATTATTACCGTTTGACTTGTTCTTTTGATGTTGGTTTATATCACTTGCGTTATTGGAATTTTCTATATTCGCATTATTGTCATTCATTTCATTGTTTTTGTTGTTGCCGCTGCTGCCTGTTTTCAAAATTTTCGATAATTTACGCAACGTATAATGCTGCGGTGAATCGTTGGCACTAGCTTTAGCCAAATTTAGACCATTGGCAAAAGATTTGACAGTGTGCAGGAACCTGTCCAGCAGGTTATATTTTTTAAGCGATTCCAAAATCATATATGGAATGAATTTTCGATCTTCATGATATAATAATATAATACCCTGCGAGTTAACATCTCTAGATTTAAGAGTTTCGAGCCAATCGAGAAAATCTTTAAGAGCAGCGATTTCAGATTTTGATTTGATTATCTATAAAAGGACAAAAATCACTAGTTTTTCCGCAAACGTCAAAAGCTTAATGCTTATCAATTTTCAATAATAATCATCCGTCTATTTAAGGGAAAATGCATTACCTTGTAGGTCTGCGTTGATTTGAGCATACGATAAAATCCGATTGAGATCACGCGCACTTGATGACGCTGACGTGCAGCTGGATTTAAATTCATATACGGCATTATGTATTGTTCAAAATGGTCCTTTGGCGTGTAAGCAGCTAATTGAACAATCTTTAAAAAGATTAATTTGCCAAAAATATATGAATAAAATTTATTTTCTTTTTTTGTTAATATAATCTTCAATTTGCTTACTTCATCTATTAAACGACGTCCTGTGGTATCAACATCCACGCCCACCAATATATATCTACCCACCGGTAAAGTGGTATTATTGTTTGCCAGTCCGTTAATAGCCGTTGTTGTGCCGTTCATTGTTGAAGACAAAACACAGTTTTGTTGTGCTATTGAAGCGACCATTTTTTTTATACACTGTGTATCTCTATCTCTTATATCGCTGAGTGTATTTATAATTCCTAAAAAAAGCTGGTAATATAATTAAAGTCATGAAAAGGAGAAGCAAAAGGCAAGTTTTTAATGCTTTTTCAAAGCATCTGGGATAACATGAATCGTAGAAATATTTAAGAAACTCTAAGAAATCCTATTCCGAAGCAATCAGGGAAAACCGCTTTTTCGCATTAACTTGCATTTTTTATTTATTTCATAAATGTCAATATAAACCGAATCAAGTCACTTTCTTTAAGCAATTAAAATCTTGCTTACGTTTAGACTAACCAGTATAATGAAGATTCAAACCCGCAGAAAGTTCTCTTTAATCTTCATACAATTGCGACCCATACAAACCTCATGTAGGGAATCAAAAGTATACTGTTTATGTGCATGCTGGGAATGTGCACGCCTTCGCAAAAAATTGTTTACAAAAAGGGAAATATACCCTTGAACGTATTACTTTAAGGAATACTTACATAGGCTAAGATGAATGTTTATGCAAAGCAGCGGAAATTTTCTTTTTAGCTCATTGGCACCAAAAATACCGGCAGGACTTTTTTCTAATTTATTAGTCGAAATCGTATCTCGTGCCAACGAGAGAAACGTTTGCATTTAAAAACAGATCTCCTATTATAAAAATCTTTTCCTTTGATATATACAAAAAGCCAAGAATTTTCCAGAAATTTTGCCCGTATTCGGAAAATTCTTTTTTTTAGGTTATGTTTCGCTTTTGACAATGTCACATTTTGAGGGTTTGAAAAAAGTTTTCCATAACTAAATCTTGATTTATATGAAAACTTTATCAATTTAATAAATTTTAGCTTACCTTTTTTCTTCACTGTTTTATGGATCAAAATTGAAAGACGCGAATGTTGCAGTTTGGAAAAAAGTATGGAAAAAAAGAAAGGGAGAGGGTTACCACAAAATTAACGGTAAACGTAGTTAAAAGAGTTTGACTATGCCGCCTTAAACAAAGTCGTATTTTCAAGCATATGATGAAAATAAAACTCTTAAGAGACGTCATGAGCAAATTTGTGGGAAGTTACCGTTTTTTTTCTTTCCTACTTGAAGGACTGCGAAACGTTCTTCTCTTTTGTATTATTTTTTTGGCTTGGAGTAGTTCTTGTCAAAAAATAAAAATTTTTTTTCAAAATTTTTGCTATGCTTGCATCACCGACGCGGCGCGGCTTCTTTGTTTGTTAGACAAGAGCGCAACAAGAAACGAAACAATTCGTACGAAAAACAAAAACAAATGTTCTGTTTAAAAATGCCTGCGAAAGCTTCCTTTTTCAATTTCAAACTGAAAATTTTTTAAATTCAAACGACATTTCATTGATAGAAATTTCAATAAACTACAATAACTAAACGGAGCCTACTCTTTCTTGGATATAAACAAGTAAAAAATTGTTCAGTATTTTTTTTTTAAGCGCAAAGTATTTAATGATTAAGATGCTTTTATTTATTTATTTACTTTTTTACTTTGTAACCATAGGAAATAGCAACCGCAGCACTTGAATCACCAAACCAAAATTCAGGTTAATTAAATTTAGAATATTACAACAACTAATCATTAATTTGTTGTTAAATATTTTTTTCCAATTTCTTTGAGTGGCTCTCTTAATATTTGCAATGTCGTATTAGAGAGGTTGCTAGCTGTTTTCATAGAAATGAGTGAAAAATAAACCCTTTTTTCTGTTATTTTTAACATTCACTACGCAACAAGTGTTTTCTTACTCTTCATTTGTTTTTCTTATTTTTATTACTTCTATTTTTAATATACGTGTGTAATTCTCCTCACCGCTATTTGGCTTTAGTTGATTTGTATTAATTTATTGTGTTGTGATTTATAACGAAAATGCCGTTTACTGATATTGCTTTCAACCAAAAAAAAAAAAAAACCAAAACAAAAAAATGCAAATGTTCGAAACTTGACTAAAAAAAAAACTTCTATATAAGGCTACAAACATAAGAAGAAGTATAAATTCACGCAGCTAACACCACACACCACTCACTTCATAAGCTGATAAGGCAAGCAGTGTTGTCGTTTATTTCGTTTTTCACTTTTTAAGCGATGAAACAGCTTTTAGGAGATTTATGAAATTTTCATGCTGGGAGGTAAGTATATATAAAGGAAGCGACAGCCCTGTTTTTGGAAGCAAATTTGAAACATAAGGTAAACGTCAAGCACAGAAAGGTTTGGCTATGAGTATTGGCATCGAAAACTCCATGAGAGCAGTATTTTTGTATTTACTCAGAATAAATAAAAAATTTTATATTTTTTCGAATGTAATTTTGAAAATCTAAGAAAGATAACTCCAACTGTAGGAGCCGACAAAATGTTGGACAAATATAGTTACGATGTTAATGATAGCAAAGTACGCTGCTGTAGCTAAGCCAAACCCATTATTTCCTATATTTGTATAAAGCGCTATGAAGGCTCTTAATTTTTGCTCTACAACAAATGTAGAACAACCACTTACCTCAGATTATCATCATCTAAAAAGATGAATATTGGATTTGCATTTGTAACAAGTAATCTGTATTGAAGTTTTCATACTATATTTTTATCGTTTTGTACTAAAACAATTACTAGGCATACACGTAACGATTTAGCGATTTGCGAATGGATTTACATCATTTTGTAATATTCTCTCATTAGATGGTCTTCAATCACGCAAAATATAGTACATAACGCATTCTTGGCTCTTTCATCCATATAGAAATAATTTCTAGAGCATATATTTTATCGTACAAGTAAGTTTAGACACGTTTAATAATAATACGTTAAATGGCTTTTTTACCAAGTGAATTGATAAGCTTTTGCTTAACTTGTCGTAGCGCGTAAATATTTTAATTATTTCAACGTAACTTAAGATTTTTTAATAACAACACCTTAAATGATTTATTTATTAAGCGAATTGACACGTTAGCGCATTGGTGGTATTTTTTCTAAACGAATTGTAACGTTTTTGTCTAATGGATCCTTTATTATATTAAGGAACCTTTACCCCTTCGTCGACCACTAAAGTAAAAACAAACAACAGCTGTTTTAGTGTAAGTGAAATTTCGTTTTTTTTTCTAATAAAAGCTAATAAAAACCAAACAAAAAAAACCTAAGAACTGGAAAATATTATGTCTTTAAATTTATAGTCATTAAAAAATCACTCCTGATCTTTAAGGCAAAATAAAGTGGGCTACAAAAATCGTTTTCTTATTAATAAAGCTTCTTTTTTTCTGAAATTATACGAGAATAAAGAAAAGCAAAACAAAAAGCTCGAAATAATTTAAATCGCACAATGTTCTCATATATAAAGCGTAAATTATCCGAATCGGATTCCGGTGGTAGTGCAAATCAAACAGATGCTTTATTAGCTTTTAAAACTGAGCAGTCTTTGGCTAGATCAGTCGACCGAATGGGTATTGTCATTGGTGAGGACGCCTTGTTGCAAGAACTAGGTTACAAAAACGCTAGTGACTTGCAAGAAACGGTATATGGTAATAATAATAAAAAATTTTGGATCAACACATATCCTGTTCAAAAAAAAAGACTCTTCTTTTTTTAAATTTAAGACGCTTTGAGAACCATTCGTGATCCTGAGAAACCCGCCACCTTAGAAGACTTAAATGTTATTTATGAGGATGGAATTTCCGTAATGCCTCCCACTAAATCGAATGTATCAGTAGTAAGTTCACAAAATTTGTTAAATGTTATAAAAATAGTTTTATTTCTCGTTCGCCTTCTTCACAGGTACGTATAGAATTTAATCCTACAGTCCCTCATTGCTCGTTAGCTACTTTAATTGGTTTGTGCATACGCGTTAAGGTAGAGAGAAGTCTGCCGCATAACATTAAGTTAGATATTTTTATTAAGAAAGGCATGCACAATACTGAAGACGAAAGTACGAATTTATGGCAAATAAGTTAATATAGAATTGATTTAATTCCTGCGAATTCTTTTTTTTTTTCTTTATTAGTTAACAAGCAAATCAACGATAAGGAACGCATTACTGCCGCTATGGAAAATCCAAATTTGCGAGAATTGGTAGAGAATTGTATAAAGGATGAAGAATAATATCTTTATGTAACTTATTTGCGAATGATTGTTTAATTTTTTTAAATGTGTTTTTCTCACATGTTTTATAAATATTTCCTTTATTTTATAGACAACGTTGAAATGTGTATGTGTTTTTGATTTTTACAACAGCTGAGGCAGAGATTTGCAACATAGTGAAAACAACTGCGATGATTCGTTACAAACAAGGATAATAATAGGAACAACTTTTGATGAGAATTAAACTTTTAAAACTGTCCAAGTAAAATAGAATAAATTGACATTTGTTAAATTTTCAAATTTGCGTTTTATCTGGTTTTTGTACACAATACACAAATTTTATTTAAACAGAGAATTATGCTACATGTTTTTCCTATAAAAACAAAGTAAAAATTTTGGGGAGCATTTTTCTGAGTTTTTGTTCACTTTTATTAAAAAACATATGCATCTTGCTCGTTTCCAGACTCATGCCGATTGGTTTTTGGTAATTTTGAGAGTTAAATTTTTATACTACAGGTGTTTTTCCGTGGTAGAAGATTTGCAACGTATTGAAAACATCTCTGCGATGAACATATGGTGGAGGGAAAAAAAAACAATTTAAATTTTTTTCCTCAATTCAGCTGATGCTATAAATATAAAATGAAAGTAATTGCAGAGGGACGCTTAACGCACTTCAAGTGTCTGTATTAGACAAAAGTTAACCGTTCAGTCAATCTGGGAACTAAATATATTTCTGAGAGAATAGTAAGTTTGTTGTTCTCCGTTGTGAATGACGAAATTATAAAAAAACTGAACACACTTGTACATCAACAAAAATGAGTCCACGAAGTGAACGAATTATGTGAATGCAATTTGAAAAGAGAAAGAATTGTTGTAGTTAAAGGCTTGTCTTATCCTTTATCTTTATCTGATAAAGGAACTTGTAAAATAATTGTGGTTGTAGACCTATTTTCAAAATATGCCACGCATGAAATGGGGGAAAAAAAAACATGACAATTTTTTTGGGTTTTTGGGAAAAGGTATGAAATCCCTCTCTGAATTGTGGTATAATACAAACAAATTATTGGATATTCTAATTCATTTATATTTTTTCTTACAATTTTAGTTTCTTATGATGCACTCACAAAATTTTCTAAACGTTTTTGCTACGACGATGGTTGAAAGCATACACAAGAATCCGTCCCGCAAATAGTGACTAATCCTTTTTTAGCTAATCGCGGAACTTCTCCTCTGTTTGCTGCGGTACTCGTTGTGAAATATTTATTGGGTAAAATGCACGGGTAATAACGTGGAAAGTTCGACTCTGTATCTAAGGCTTCACGTTGGTATTCGATAGCGTTCGTTTATTTCCACAACATTGTTAAACAATCGATGGAATTAGCTTTATCAGCTGAGGAGCTTTATAATTACTTCCTTTTGCTGAGAGCTTTATCCTGTTCAATTGGCAGAGGTTCTCATGCTATAATATCAGGAATACTTGCTATTGCCAGCAGATGAACGATTTACTTGTCGAATTGTGTTTAACAGTGCCGGTGCGTTTGTCGTCTTTCTTACCCTATTTACCGATGCTTATGGGTCACTTGCTTTCGTCTTTAAGTGGTTCGAATACTTTAGAAAATCAGGTGAGAAAAAATTTCACAAAAAAGGTTGTTTCAGTATTTATGTTAAAATTTAATGATTAATTGTTTATATTATAGGGTTTACGTTGGAATTATGTGTTGATAATTTGCAACCGGATTTTTTATATGACCATATACAACCTGTACGTGCTGCTTTTATGCAAGCTCTCTGTAAGACATTACGCAACCCTGAAAATGCAGCTTTAGTCGCTTTTCGTGTGTTAGGTAAATTTGGTGACGGTAATCGTAAAATGATGACTGAACCCCTACGTATACAATACGTTAACAGCTAAATTCAACCAATTGCCGGAGTTAGGAGAAGGCAAAAAGGAAAACCATGTTTGAATATTGCCGTAGTGGCATATTTCCAAGAACACGACGGATCTTTGTGAATGCGGGTTTCCTGTTACGGTAGCCGTCGTATGCCAATATGCTATGATTGTTATACCTCAACAAGCAGGTCCGATTCCACAAAAGCAATATTATTCGTTGAGTGGTATAGACCCTTTGGTACTGATACGGTGCTTTGTCCGTTTGCATAAATGTAATGGATTCACACAAAGACTTGTTGGCAGATATCATACTGCCGAAGAAGGATCTCTTAAGACATCAACCAGTTAATGCTCAAATTGGTTTAATGGAAGGCAACACATTTTGCGCTATGCTTGAGCCTCGCCTGTTTACCATCAATTTAACGAATAGTTATCACAAGTTATTCTCTTATGAATTAATTACATTATCAGAGGATGACGACTCAGCTCTTTTTAAATTGGATTGTTATGAAAATGTATCCAACTTAATACCACTTCAAATTAGTGATTTGAAAGCTTTAGCTGCTTGTCATTACACAAACGAAAGTAAACAAGGATAAAATCATAAGCATTTTATTTAAATTGCTGGAACATAAGGATCCCGAACTGCAAGAAGCCGCTTTCCAATGCATGAGAGGATTCAATGCGGGAATTCAAGTTGATAAAAAACAATTTGAAAATTATATCAAGCCTTTACTAAATACCCTGGGAGATCATAGGAATTTGTTGTTGACGGCAACCAAACGTTTATTTTACGTCACTCAACTCTTTACCAAAATACGAAATGTTGATCAAGAAAAATTTGCAACATTGCCAAAAAACGCTGGAGATCTCGACAGAGAATTGCAAGCAAGATGGGAATTTTTTCTCTGCATTAAAAGAAGCGAATATGAACAAAAGGTAGTCTGCTTTATTGGAATGTTTCATCAAATTATTGCCGCTACACGAAAATACATTGAAAATCGATGTCAACTGCTTTTACAAACTGAAAAGATTCTTATGATAGAGTCTTCGTCGCCGGACCGAGCACCATTACTTAAGTGTCCGTCGCCTTGCCGTTTGGCCATGCTATTCTACTACAAGTTTTTCATTCTCTGCTAAAAGGTCACGCCGACAAAACAGAACATAAAATATTATCGGGCGGCATGGAAGAAGACGGAAATGACATGACTTCTTTAAAAAGGACTTGCAATGAAGATTATGCATATTAATTGAATAACTGGGATGTTTTCAATTCATAGCACATACATTTGCCCATTGCTGCGTGGACGCAGTGTTTTGCTTATTTATTATTGTAAATATTGTATTATTATAGTTTTAACAGGAGACGACACAAAACAAAAGTACTAAAATAAGCAAAATTCAGTTCAATGGGCCCGCTACATATAAATAACGAGAAGTATTTTCACCTCGCTTTGCCTTGTTCTGTTTTTATCTTATTATCGTAACGTCAGAAAAAGGGAAGACGAAGTGAATCAGATGCATTTAAATTGAACAATGGAGTACATAAAGAAGGTCTTTATACTGGTATTTGATATCATGATATAAAGCAATTTAATATGTCTATAACAATGAATACCAATGAATATATATAATAATATAATACTTGGCGACGGGGAGAATTGTAGGTTAACTAGGTTAATAGAACGCGCTCATCAATACAATACAATAAAATTCCGAAATAGAAGAAGTACATAATAAAAGTTTGTTTGTTAACAAACACTCCTTATTATGAGTTTTTCGTTACCGCTCCTCAAGCTTTTAGACAGAAAGTTATTTCTTAAAAAAAAGCTTCAATAAAACCATTGGACTTCTTTTCATCCATTTGCATGTGCACATTAGTTGACTTCTCATGTTAAAAAAAGCGCTAATATTTCCTTATGAAAGTGAACTTATACCAGTTTCTACGATCAGCAATTGTTGGCTAAAGGAAGTTTTAACTACCTGTATAATTATGCTTAATAATGTATAAAATTAATTACCTGTGTAATTATGTCCATGCCCATTCGGATTGTTACATTCACCATAAATTTGAGCATTTTCTTCATCACTTAAATGTTTGCTAACAAACATTTCCGCGAAGTGATTGGTTTAGAAATGTTGAATGTAAAATACAATAATCAATATGGCAGCGATAATGAATCACTGCCATCGCCACGGCCCAGACTGATTGTTAGTCCACGAGACGACATTAATTCTAATAGCAATCGATGACTTATTTGATCAAACTTGTTCGTCTCTTAATATATTGTGGAATCTGGGCGGCGAACTTGTGGAATTTGTGGAAACTGGGCTGTCAACTTGTGGAATGCGCATCTGAACAAAAGTTGCAACCTGTTCGATGAAAATGAACAAAAGCTGCAACTCCTTCTTTTTCAGTTGTTAAAAATGATCTTTAAAAATTTTCTCCAAGGATTCAAGGGCTGGAATATATTTTCAGGATATCTTTTGGAAACCGTCGTATCGTTTGTCAAGGGCTGTGACATAGTAATGGTTGCTAGTAACGTTATCACAGAACTTTTTTTTAACGGTTTCAATGACTATGTGCGCCTAAGTCGGTTCCTATAACAAAACAAATAAGAAAATTATATTTGTTCTTGATCGAATCTTTTACGCCCATCACCGTTGTCCTAAAAAGGACGTTATAAGTAAAAGAGATAAATTTTCATGAATAAACATTCATTTCCAATAAGGAGTGGGCGCGGTTGATTTTACTCTATTTTCAAAATAAAAGGTTTTTTTCGTATAAGCGTGTGGGCGTTGTAAACGTGTCCGTGGAAAAGTTGAAATCACTTTCAAAGTCTTGCAAGTTTGTAGGCGATATCTTTGTTTTCGCTAACAGAAGAATGTTGACCACATATGCCACACATTTGCGCAGACAGACATATGGCCAAGAATTTGTACACCTAATAGGGTTTTTGAACATTGTTTCTGCGCGTTGTAAAGGTATTGAAAAAACAATTAAAGTTTGATACACTATAACGTTGGCTAGGCGTGGCCAATTTTTTCCATTTTTGTACACGCGCATACAGTGTGCCTTCAAATTTTAGTACATTTGTTTGCTCTAGTTTAAGAATAATGAGTAGAAAATCATTTTTTATTCCTTTTTGAAAGCAGAGGTGTTCTCAGCTTACGTGTTACTGTAGGCGTGCCCAAACAGATATAAATCGCAATTACTAAGTCAGTATTCAGTTAGAGTTTGCCTCTATCGTAGTTATAGTGTATGGTCAGTGGATAAAGGCGTTGAGAATACACATCTGCACTGGACTGCCA